TGAGTGAAGTATGTATGTGTATATATGTATATATTGTACTATTCTTATTCTTAGTTAGTGTATTGTCTGTCTTGTCTTAATGTTGGTTTAAAATGAAGCACTGTAACAAAAAATAATTTCCCCCAGGGATCAATAAAGTATTCTGATTCTGATTCTGATTCTGATTCTGATCTGTCAACAGATCAGCATTCGACTGATTCACAGCATCATCCATGTCGAGCAATGCACAGCTGAGATTTTACATGGGATGATGTTTGCGGTGAGTGAGTCGACCTCTCTCTGTACAGACACAACTGTGGTAACATAAATTAAACACCGGCAAGTTGATTAAAAGCTCGCCGTGACCACTTAGCCTGATTAGGTAAGTGAATCCAGATAAGGGAATTCTGGGAATGAACTTTGTACTGGTGTCATTTCTGTATTAGCTCTGTCTGGGACCTTTGCTCTGATACTTTTTCACATTCAGTAGATTTTTTGTTATTCTAGAGCTGAGCCAAACATTTATGTCTCAATTTTACATCTGGTGTAAATTTGATTTTTCTCGCTGGTGCTTTTACTGCCATGACTGTTAGTGAACTGTGGCTCAAACAACATTTTTCTGTGGCTCAAACAGAAGCAGTAATAATAATAATAATAATAATAATAATAATAATAATAATAATAATAATAATAATAATAATAATAATAATATAACCTATTATAATAATATAACCTCCTGGACAAGAGTCTATTCAACACTAAAGATGTGATTAAAAATCAAGTTTGTACAAAAGCATACAAATTCAATTCATTTCTGAAGAGTTATAACTATTATTATCGTCTCTGCTTGTCTTTGTGTAAAAATCACCTTTACAAAACCACTGTAAAAAGCACAAAACATATACAACCCTTTTAATGAGCCAGGCACACCGGTTCAACAGCTGTTGACAACCTGATGATGTGACAAAACTCACCTCATGCAAAACTGGTTTCTTAAATATGAATGGTCTCCACAGAGCACCTTTGGGAAGTGGTGGAAGATTTACATCATGGATGAACACAAATCTGCAGCAACTCAACTCTGTGATTCTGTCATGTCAATACGGACCTGAGTCTCCAGTGCTTTTTAAATCTATGCCATGAAGAGTTCTTAAGGCAAAAGCTAGTCCAGCACCGTACTAGCCAGAAGTATATAATGATGTTTTACCATCATTATATACTTCTGGCTAGTACGGTGCTATATATATATATATATATATAAGAAAAAAATAAGACTTAATAAAACATCTTACTTGAATGAATGAATGAAGTTTAGTTTTTACATCCATAAACGTGTGATTACATGTTTTCACCAGTACGAGAAAAGCCTTCCCAAAGTGCACTCAGACAGATATAGCCAGAATGGGCATGCTTGGTTTTAATCCCATAATAACCAGCACCAGCTCCCTCTTATAGCATCTTACACTGTCCATAAATCAATACAGTAATAGTGCTGACTGCAGCAATCTGAGCCATTGAAGCAATGTGGGACTAAAACGGGAGAAATGACCCTGACTGTGTGCACTGCTGCTGCAGTCTACTGTCTAAAATAAGCTCTCTCCTTGGAGCGTGGCTCAGACTGCTAATGAGCACTTATGTGGGAATGCCAGTGTCGTGGATAGTGTGGCAGATAATCTTTACAGCCAGCCAGCTTCACTGATTTCTTTCTCCTCGTCTCTTTCTTCTTCTTTTTTCCACTTTCTTCTATCTCAGCCTCTGAGTATGCTTTGTTCTGTCAAAAGGCATTCTTGTCTGGCCTCCCACCCGAGCTGCCTTTAAGATATTTCAGCATTTTCTCCACATCCCACACCCACATTTTTCCTTCTCTTCTAAGTTCTTCTGGTATTTTTTATCTCAAAATGAAGCAGCTCATCTCTCACATAATAGACAGAAGGAACACTGCTTCATTGAAAATAAAACCGCCTTTTTGATCTGGCGTTAGATAATATCTGGGACTCTGCAGTGAACCAGTGAGCTGTGTGTGGGAGCTCCGGCTGACAAAAGCACAAACTCCCCAGTGCCGGCTCTCGCTGTGGCCAAGGTGCTTCAAACAGACACCGAACTTTTCCAAATGGAAACACAAAGAGCCACAACAGCCTCCATGTTTTTAAATCAAAGTTAATGTCACATGTGTACAAAGAGAACGGAACCAAAAATGAGGAAACATCATCATCAACTGTTCAGATCCAGATAAACTTCTGAATTTATGAAAGGTATTTCTTGCTTCTTGATCCTTTTGACTAAATACACAAAACATATATACTTTACTATTTAATTAAAAAAAATAAAATAAAATGTTGTCATGCTAAAAAAAATGAAGGTGGTCTATGGTGAGCAGAGTCGAGGTTATACCTGGTAAACATGAGCATGTTAGCATGCTGCTGCTAGCAACAACAGAGCATATCCTGTGTGTGGTATCGATAACTGTTCATCCAGGATTAGATTAAATGAAAAGCAGTTACTATGTGTAACCCTCAAGTTATAATGACCAAGTAGTAGTTGTTATACAGGAATACTTGTTGTATTTATCTTTGTCGTACCAACATGGTTTCTTTAATCTATCGTGCAAAAGGCATGTTTATGTCTTATTTTCTGATCTAGAGGGGATGTATTGACTGAAACAGCACTTGCCTCTGAAAGCCTCTGTCTGTTCATCCCTGTAAAGATCAGAAGAGGGACGAATATTTTAAGTAACTGAGCTACAAACATTCTCCAGATATCTCTGAAACAGCAAATTCATCCTTGGCCTGCACGTCTCCTCAGGCTGATTGAGGACATCTCTGATGCTGTTAGCCGCGATTCACTGTGAAACATTTCCAAAGGGGAATATTAAAATAGATCCTAAGTCTATTTAAAAAATACTGACCTCACACAATTGTGCTTCCATTAGTCTTGCCACAGAAATGGGTTTTAAAGTTCCTTTAAAAAATAAATTAAAGCATCTGTGAAAAGTTGTTGAAGATGTTTAAAAATGTCTACAAAAACTCAGGTATAAACATCTTTTTAGGGCTAAATGTGCTCATATATGGGATCATTTTTAAATCCCTCATAAGGGCAGCAGGGGGCAGAGAAAGTTTAACAGCAGGTTCATGAAGCTGGTTCATGATGCCAGCAGGTCACATGAGAAGAACTGAGCCTCATCCTGCTGGAAGCTGGTGTATGTAGACACTGATAACGCTACCACAGACACCAATCCTAAGCTTGTTTTAAAGTTGAAGTCACACTGACCAACTAGTTTAATCAGCAGGATGATATTTGATCAAAATGAGCTAAAACTCTTAATTATAAAAAGGAGCTGTTTTATAATTACTTTATTCTGGATTTAAGCTTTAAAACTGAAAGAGTTGCCTTTTTTCTTCCTTTTTCCTTTTAGTGTATTTGATTGCAGCTCAATCACTGATCCTTGTAAAAAGTTACACTCTTCTGTGCCCTGTATGTGTTAACTTGAATATATCCAAAATGTATATTAATTATGTTGATATTTAGCTTTCTGTCCACATAAAAAAAAATGTATTGCGTCAAAAATGGCAACTTTGAAAATCCTGCTCAACCCACATTAATGCGTCGTCACCTTTTACAATCAAATCTGAACGAACCCATCCCGACAGACACCCCTCCCCCCTCCCCACGGGGAAACAGGTCCTAAAAACCTGTAAACTCATTCCAAGAATGCCACCTGTTTGTGTAATTAATGTGCAACTGTTTGCGTGACGTTTATTGTGTGGACAGTTGAGGTGACACGCTGACAGCTGCGCGCAGATTTGACCTCAGAGAAACAGAAATTTGTGTGGGTGTAGTCCCACTTTGTTAGAGGGAGTATCTGCTGCTGGTTATGTCCCTGTTGGCACTGCTTAGTCACAGTGCATACATTATTCCACTCTGTCTTTTCAGGAGAGCTAAAGGCCTGAAATAAAGTTTCCTGGGTCACTGTGCACATTTCTGCCCCTTTTGTCCTCCAGATACGTTCCAGAGATGTCGGGACTTTAAAGCTAAAAGAACATTGAGTTTCTTGTATGCATTACTCTGATGTACATGCACCTGCAGCAACAGGTGGTCACAGAGGGAGGCACTTTGGAGCGTGTGAACTCAACAGATAAAACAGTCTGCTGTCTTTTCACCCGCTCTCGCTCTGTTCAATGGCCTCCAAGTATCCGGACAACCTTGCCTGGTATTTTGGCACAAGTCCCTTGAGTGTTGATGTCAGCTGAGAGAGGGGAGAAAAGGAGGGAGGGAGGGAGGGAGGAAGAGAGGGAGGAGGGGATGAAGGCCTGAGAGAGAGAGAGAGAGGGGGGGAGGAGTGAGCGGGCTATTCAAGGCACTTGTCCTCTGTCTCCCTCTGAGCACAGAGGAGGGGGAGGCGCACATGCATTGAGGGAAGCACACTTGCACACATAGTAGTAGCAGCCGCATTTTCACAGGCTGCTCTTCAGACTGACAGCAGCAAACGGAGTTGAGAGGCAGCGCAATAGAGCGAGGGAAACAAGGCAGGCATCCAGAGAGGAGAGCAAAGCAGAGGAGGCTCACGCAGGGTTTCCCCTTACTGCCCTTTGGCTCTCTGGGACCCACAAAAGGAATCTCCTCTGTGCTCTTCTTGAGCTGAACTTGCTTTGCCAGAAGACCTGCACCCCACTATGGCAGCCCTGGTGGGACATGGGAACCCTTGTCCCCTCTTATCTGATTCCTCTAAACTGTGGACTACCTTTATTTTGGGTGTGTTGACCCTTTCGACTCAAGTCTGGGGCTTTAACTTGGATACTACTCACACACTGCATAAGTTGGGAGACCCTGGCACCTTCTTTGGCTTCTCTCTTGCGCTTCACCAGCAGCGTAATCCAGACCCTCAGAGCTGGTGAGTGTGAATGCGGCACTGAGCTCGTCCTGTGTGTCCTGTGTGTTTCTGACTCAGGTCAAATATGTGATGTCTTGTGTGCGCACCTGCTTCTCATACAAAAGCTCATCGCGAGTTCATTCTTAGGGATCTAAAATGCTAATGCCAACACAGCCAGCATTTCTGCACTGCATCAATTTGTCAAATCACTGCTTTGCTGCAGTAGTTGCTTATGTGCAGCGTCTGCACTGAGAGGAGAGTGGATGAGAGCAAGCTTCCTGAATCAGAAGTGAGGATCTGATTTCTCTAAAAGGTAGAAGAGTGTTTTTAAGTCATTCTCTTGGAGGAACTCATGTCCCATGAAGTATAGAGTGAGGAGTCTTCAGTCTGTCTGGTTGTGCCTATGAACCCAAAGTTAAGCTGTTCATGTGTGTTTGCTCTCTGATCTGCTGTTTGCCGGCAGCTGTTTTGATGAGTCTTCCAGTGTGACCGGAACACTCACGAGTCCTGTTCCAATCCTCCAGCAAGTCATGAATAAATGATAACAACAAGCCTGCGTGCAAATCTTTGGACATGTTTACGACAGGACCGCGAATAAAAGGCTGCCCAAGTTTAGCTGTCTGGATGCTTTGTGGTTGATATTGACGAGATCTGTTCCATCTGATTTGGTGGTGTATTTTCTTTTAGTCATGAATTTGGTGCTGCTTTTTGTCAAACAGTCTCTGCTTAGATTAATACAGTGCACACTATCTGGTGAGATTCAGAAGATTAAGTAAAGTTGCAGAATTGCAAGAAAAATCATGCATATAAAATAATGACATATCACAGCACTCTGTATTTTATAAGATCCTAAGAAGAATACACATGTATTCCAAATCTTAACCAACAGTTGAACTATAGCTGTAAAATAAATATAGCAGCGTTTGAGGTAATATCTCCCTCTGAAATTTACTGATTTATAAATGTAATGTTTGCTCCAAACCCCAAAATAGCAAATGTAATGTTCATGTCACATGTCTGGTATAAAGGAAAATTAATGTTTAAGGATGAGGGAATTAACTTACTACAAGCTCCTGTTTTAGAGCTCCATATTTAACTGCGGGCTGCTTAGTTTACCCGGGCTGGAGTCACCCTGTCGCCTGGTAAGACCAGGGGAATGACATCAGACACAGTCATGTCATCCCTCTGAAAACCAGCATGCTGTCCAGCAGCATTCCTGGGACTTATTTTAAAAAGCAACTACCAGAATACTCATTGTATCACTGACTGCTGTGTCCTGAGTAAACAAGGGATAAGACTCCAGCAAAACTGTCCATCAGGGATGTTAGAGCCAGGAGACAGTCAATAAAACTCTGACCTGATGTGCTGATGTGATGATGCATCTACTGGAAGAGAGTGGCATGAATGATGTTGCTGCCGGTACGCTGGGAAAGTACTTTGTGTTTGGATGACTTTATGGTGATTTCATCCTCGGTCGGTCTGTGCAGATGACTTTGCAGGGTGTAGCCAGCCAGGGTTTTAGAAATATTGAATAATGGGGCCCAAAACAATTTGACTATACACAAAGAAATGTATTGTATTACAAATTTTGTCAACTTTCAGCTTTGTTACTCTACATTTTTTCATGAACACCATGAACACCAATGTCCTTTAAAAGTGTTTAGCTTAAGAAATGAAATCATTAGGTCAAAAGGTAAAGCAGCATTTTATGCCCACTTTTGTGGCGGAGAAGCAGTCTGAGAACATTCTGCCATTTCAGCAAGTTGACAAAACGATTTTAGAAAATATTATTTTTAATAATGGCCACACTGACAAATGCAACGCTTTTAACTCTGTTTTTAGTCTTTACCGTCTCCTGAAGAAAATACACGACTCTTTAGCCGCTCTCAGTCCACCAGCTACAGCTGTGTCTGTTAACCTCCTAAGACCTGAATTCTTTCATGGCGTTTTTAATTTCTCTTTGCTATTTGGGCTGATTGGGACCTGATGAATATAAAAACAAAGAAATACCAGATTTTTGTTTTTGACAAAAATGAGATCCACATTCGTTTTAAATTTTGCTAGAATAGTGGCAGTATAATGTCTTCGTAAGTGGATATCCTTGTAGAGCAGAATTTAGTATTTTGGTCTAGACAACCCAAAATGTGATGTCCACATGTGTGGACGGCAGGTCCTAGGAGGTTAAACAACTTGTTCATGAACTTATTCCCACAAGCACTTTTTTTCTAAGCTGTTTATAAGCGCTGCCTATCTAACATTCACACATGCATTCACACTCCGATGGATGCATTGGAGAGCAACATTGGGTTAGTATCTTGGATATTTGGATATGCAGACTGGAGCAGACTGGGATCAAACCACCAACCTTCCAGTTAGTAGGTGAGCGACCACCTGAGCAACAGCCAGTAGTGATGTGATGTCCACATATGCGGATGCCAGATTAAAAATGCACAGAAACTCACTGCACTTAAAAACGATGGGTATGGTTTGCAGAAACAAATGCTCAGGAGTCAAAATCAGATATTTTGGTAATACAATAAAATTTTATTTTCTTTGTAGTCGTTTGAATTTAACATGTAATAAAATGTGACATTAATCTGTTAACAAGCCCACATTAATAATGTATTCCACATTGTTTTTACCTTAATTATTGTGTGATAATTAACTGTTATGACATGGTTATTGCCTCTGTCTTTAAACCACATTATAACCCCACTATTACCATATTACTTTAGAGCTGTAATAAGAAATACTACCAATACTTCTCAGAGTGTGTTCTGGGATCACCAACACAAAATCATTCTGTGCCATTTCGCATGCTTTTAAGTCATGTTTTAATTAGATTTGAGGTAAAATCATAAATTGCATTAAAATAAAAATCCTCTTAGGGGCTATGAGAATTTTGGAATTATGTTTATTAAAATAAAAATGGCTTTCAGCGGGAAATGGAAACCATCTAGTGTGTTACACTCTGGACAATCCTGACATGTTGTTTTTAGGAACATAATGAAAAAATAATTCTTCTTGGTGGGAAATTCTAAATATTAGAGGTTTTATTGCCCCTTCAGAGATGTATTATTCAGAAGCAGCACAATAGTTATGCTTCCTGTCTGAATAATACATTTCCATTAAGCCTTATTCCCTCTGTGTTATTACATTTCCTATTTGGTAGTTTAGTCTCCAGCCCTCGTGAAGCCGTCTGCCTGAAACTTATTGTAATCAGATGCTACTGACTCACTTTCTTTTTCTATGATGAGGGTTTGGGTTACTGTCACCTGTGGCCATAATGTTTTACAGTCATTGTGTGTTATGTCACTCTATTCGACTGAGAAAATGATATTTGTCTTTGATGCTCTGTGCTGTGCTTACTCATGATTAAATCATACTATAAAGTAATGCGAGTGCTAATACAGATCAGCGTAGTCATACTGTCGCCCCTGAAAGAGTTTCACCGCCAGCGGCTTTGGAGTTTCACAGTTTATCGGAAGCTCAGCAAAGATCAGAAAAGTCAATACTGTTTGGAGTTGATACCGCGTACACAATGACTGCCTTTTTGTTCAGTTTTGCAGCATCAAACCTTGCAGCTTATTTTCAGTATGGCAGTAAAGGTCAACCCATGTGACACAATATTATCATACTGATTCACATACTGTGAGGACAAGCAGGTCGTTGACACGGCTGAAGTAAAACTAGGCCAGAGTTTAGAGCCTTTTGTAAACCTTTGTTTTTCTTCCTGAGCACAGGCCAAAGCTTAAACGAGAGAATTTCATCTTTTGCTGCTAACGCCAAACAGAGGATGAGACGTGATGGGTATTTGAGTCTGAGTTATGTGTACATCTGCTATTTTTAATGCTAAGAGAAGTGCTTCTGCTATTAGTGTACTGCCTGGTGAAGACGGGAATCTCCCTGGGCTTGAGCCCCCCACTGCCTGTTTACCTAAATTTAAATAATAAACATCTTTACGCTGTGGTAAGTCTGCCCAAAATAATTAAGAAAAAGTTATTCCTATAAGACAATATGCTCTAATATTGTCATAATTCATTAATAATGTACAGATATCTCAGTTTCAGAGTGCTTAACACATGTCCAGGCACAGCAGTCCGTCTTTGCTAATCCTATATAGCTTGCTTTTTTCACTGAAATATCTGTAACATCACTTGTGCATTATCAAATTCCATCTGTCTATATCAAAGTCCAAATCTATATAATAAATCAATATACAGTGCGTGCTGCAAAGCCACACATCATTGACAATACTGTTAGACTGTGATTTATCCTACAGTTGATTTACAATTGACTGCGTTGCAACGCATTCATAGGAAAAGTGATAAAGTCTCAGGTTGCAGTAGGGGTCATGTTTACATGTGGTACTGCTTCTGAGAGTAGGCACAGTCTGTCTCAGTGCCTGGGGGGGGCACAGGTAGCTGACATAGTCACAGACATGTGTCTGGAGTTTGGTTTCATTGGCTGAATATGAATCCAAAGCAATGCTTTTTGAGGCCGAACAAATCCTCCTCTTGAACCGAAGGCGTGATTAACACCCTAAGGAAGACTGGGACATAGGGGTGATCACATGCTGAATTCCAAAGGCATACAGAGTTTGCAAAAGAAGAAGGGTTTGACATTTTGGGAAACATCCCCATGTACTTTGTTGTTCTGCTTTGGAGAAGAGAAAACATCATCATTTCTAAAAACATCATAAAACCTATACATAGGGATTATAATTCTCATTCTGATTTCAGATCTATACAGTAAATGTACCGAGCAACAGATTAGACCAACAAACACTAAAAACTGGGGGAAACAGGTAGTCTGTGTCTGACCTAATAGATAGTCACAGTATTGTGACTGCCTGCCACACTGCCGAATCGTGACGCATCCATTGAAGTCATTGTGAAAATTTTAAGTGGGAAGTGGAACTTGTTCCAACATCTGATCAATGTCTTTAATGAATGACTCAACACAGGAATGTGCTTTATATAATTAGTAATTATATTTGTTAAGGGGCATCTACACAAGAA